CGTGTATCGCGTATATATTTATTCCTTCGGCTCGCGTGCAACGCGGTGCCTTCCTCCTCTCGAACGTGCGTTACCGCGTTTCTTCTGCGGTATTTTCAACCGGCGGGTATTTTTCCGCGTGCACGGTAACGCGTCGTGGCGTCATAAAGATTCGCCGAGGTCGACACCGAGCTAATCGAAATGAAATCGCGTCCGCTCGAAACGGCGCCCGCTCCCCTCGGCCGCCATCTTGGTCCCTCTCTCCGTTTGCTCCACGCTCTGGTCTCGCTGATACCAGCCTCGATAACGCGTTTCTGTCCAACAATGGCTGCCGTCGTTTCCTCAAAAAGGCAAAGAAAAACCAAACTCGTCGAGATTTCGAGTATTTACGAAACGAAACGTCGCGATCGGACTGAGAAAGAGTTAGGTTAGGTGCAACGTCCGATAGGTGAATCTCGATGAACCTCTATTTTAGAGGGACGCAGAACGTTCCATCGGTGGAGGCGATCGATGCTTCTCTATTTTCGGGGTAAATAGAACGTTCTTCGACGGTTCGGGCCAATCGATGGTCTGCGATTCGTCGCGACTTAAAGAGGCGCGACGTGGAGAATATACAAAGTTGGTGAAAAGGAAAAGGCTAAGTTTCACCGGTTCGAGATCGATCTGCGCCGAATGGGAAAGATAAAAGAATAAGGGTTAGCCGACAAAGGGACGGATGGTTGGGTCGGACCTGGTGTTTGGGGACACGGAGGGATTTCAGCACGGCTGCAGTAAGATGCACCGTATACGCGAAGAAAGAGGTTTTACCTGGAATGGAGGGGAAATGGAGAGTTACGGTGATGAGGGATTAACGCGTTCGTAGGTAGCCCTAACGAAGAAAGACTCGGGTCTGTCGAGCAGTAGGCGATGGCACCGTTCGCGGGTCCGCTTTCATTCGAGGCGCAAGCACGATTTCCTCGACTGGTTAGCCCCGTTAAGTTAGAGGGGTTTCGGTATTCCCTGGCGATTTTTCGCCTCGCGCACGCCTCGTCCTCACTCGCGATTCTTTTCTCGGTGAACGGTCCAGGGCCGCTCGAGAGGTAAACCTTCGAGCAAAACGACTTTCAGAGCCCGCAGTAATGTACTTTCACATTTGCAAGACCGAGGCATTGAATCGTGTTGGAAACTCGTTTCGCATTGCGCGACGGAGAAGCGATAGGAGGCGGACAGAGACGGAGGGAGAAGCCGCCTGCAACGGGAATGATTTTTCGCAACGACGCCGCGAGGCTTCTCACGAAAATGCTAGAGCTGCCCGGCTCGTTTCGAGTGGAACGGTAACTCGCCGTTGACGTTTCGCGGACGTCACGACCGCTCGGCGTGTCCGCGCGAGCCGAGCAAGTACGATCGAGTCGCTGATATTCAGGTGAACCGATAGACGGGGATCGTTCGATCGAGAACCCTCTCGAGATGTTGGCCGAGTATTTTCGCTCGCGCTCGTATACGTTCCTGGCTGAACTTTAGAGACCGCGGGCGAACTCGGGGCTTCGCGGTACTCTGATATTTAGAGAGCGATCTGTATTCACGTTCCCGCGCAGGACAGCAAGTGCAGTGACCCAGTGACACGTGGAAAATCTCGACGGTGGCGTGCGTGCACGGCGTGGATCAGGCTGGGTTGCATCGGAAATTCGCGAGGTGACTTTGCGCGGTCTAATATCGACGATGACAGTCGCCGTCGTGGCGCGTAGCTTAGCTTTTTGGCAAAGAAAAAAAGCCTCGTGACTTGGTCACAGCGACAGTTTCAAGGTACCTCGATTCCTACGCAAATAGCGACGAGATTAATTTTCGTCCTACCTAACAACCGACTCCAATTTCTTTACCGCGCCATCCCGTCGCGCGACTTTCCAATCCGCTCCGCGAGTCGCGATCGGAATCCTCGCGACCGTCCATTTTCTCCTCGATCGTGTCACATACCCGTCGTGCCTTGCGCGGAGAAAGACGGTGGGGAACCGTCGAAAATGGCGTAACGCAACCCCTACCGAATGATTTTCACCGTGGTCGCTGGCCGACCGAGGAAACCCTGCACTACCGATGGAATGGAAGTTTCCTCGAAAAGCGCATGGTCGTAGTGCATATCCTCGGGACTCGGCCGAGAAAGGAGAATAACGGACCGAACGCTATTTATTGCGTTTTCAGGTCAGACAGGAGCGCGTGAATTTTCGTACGAAAAACGGGTGCCCGCAGGCTCCCGAGTCTCTCTTTCTCTTTGTCCATTTTCGAAGGCACTTGCCGTGAAACCGTTGAGGGATTTTTAAAGTAGGGTGCAGAAGCGTGCTGGTAGGAGTGGGGCGCGGTACGATGTGGCGAAGTGGGATCGAGGGAGGGGCATACCGTCGTACGGTCTGGCTCTCTTTATTGCACCCTCCTCTGGGTCGGTGCCGTGGACCCAATTCGCTCCGAGACTTCGGCGACGCAGCGCCTCTAGCGTAGTATAGCACGAAGGTATTGCAGACGCGTTGGATTTTCACGTTCCGATTGGAAAATTCACAGCCCGCCCGAGAACCGCTGTCTTTTAATGGTCAGTAACGTCACGCGTCGCCAGGTACGCGATTAGAACAGGTCGGTCTCTAATGGGATCCGTGACGTTTCGCGATAGGATCAAGAGCGGGACGTCCGTTTCGTTTAGAAATTTTCTCACCACATGGAGAATTCACGATGAGACTCTGTCGTCCGGTTGATAATAATTATCGATCGAGCGTGTTCTTCGCACGGCTCGAGATCGCGGCTCGCGTTTCGTACTATGCGAGAAAAAGAACGGCTGTATCTTTAGACTGGCGGAGACTGACGCAGAAAGATCCGGTTTCACTTGGCTCGGACGCAAACGGATTATCTTCTAATCTAAAGGCCGAAATTTCTAACTACATACGTACGTTGTCGTCGCCTGCTCTCGCGCATGCGTGTTACGTCGAATCGTATCGACGTTCGTTGGTGTAAATCGATCGATCGATGAAACGTTTTGTATTCCTACCCGTTGCTAAAAAGTAAAGAGACCGTTTCGAGAAATGGGCGCAGCTCCCGGATATGAACGGATCGGTAATATGCAAGGCGGGGGGCTATTTTTGTAATTTACAAAAAGACCGCCGCCACGTTATTAATACTTCGTCACTCGAAGTAGTCATAAAGATATCAAGATCTCCGACGCACACTCGGTTCTTCGAGTTCGTGTCCTTCGATCGAATGCGCGCTAAATCGTTTCGACTGTACGTGCGGTAAAACGTTCATTTCAACGACTACAAAGTTCAAGTCCGATAAAGCGTCCTCGATGAAGTATTGTTCTATCCATCGAGGCGTTCTTCTTCGACATTTTCATGGAAAACGATTGTACGAACTTTAAGCAAAAACAGGGGACTTTCGACCTCTCTTTCGTTGCCGTTCGATTAGATTAACGATTAATCGCGTGGCACGAACGAATTCGGCTTGGTCGACGTCGACGGTGGGACGACCGTGAAAGTACTTAGATCGGTCGGAATTTTACTTGTTTCCGTTGTCTCACTAGGATGGTTACAAATCGCTGGTTCGACCACCGCGTATACCGTTGTCTTGTCTTTTTTCGTCAGAGACTGGCGTACCGTGGCGCACGGTAAAACGAGAAATCGATGGTGAAAACGATTGCACGAAACGTTTATTCCGACGTAGCATCGCGTTGCAAAATTAACGGCCAAACGCGTGGTAGAGCTCGTCGAACGTATCGCGCACGCGTTGCGTATTTCCCATTCGCGATAAAAATGCTTATAAACGAAAACAAAATTTCACAGACGGATCTTGCCATGTCGAAAGAGCATTAGCAATACGCGTCATTCGCCAACGTCATTGTCATTTTGTTCAAACGATGGAGCCAAGATCGACATCGGAGTAACGGAAAACAAGGCACTCTCTTAAAAATCGACGTCCGAGCCAATCGGTTCACGGTAAATTTCACGTCGGCTATTCGAATGAAAGGAACGAAAGGTGCATCCCTTTTGATCCAATAAAATTGCAACATTTTCACGTGGCAATGTGTCCATATGTCCTGCAGATTCATACGATAAAGAGGCCGCAATCGTTTCTTAAAACGACGGCGGTTGGAACGTGTATACGTCAGTGTGGCACATGAGTCATTCGAGAGGAAACGGGGACGGGGCGCTTGATGCGCCCACGATATCGTCGTCCCTGCGCGGAAAGTGAGCGTAAACCGCCGAGGCGTTCCGAAGATGGCCGAAGTCAGATCGTCGTGCGGCAGTCGAGCCCGAGCGATCCCCCGATCGCGGTCGTGCGTGTTGGAACGACAGGTACGGGCAGTCAGTAGTGGATTAGCGGCAACGGGAGCAGCAGCAGCGTCCACGGCGGCGGCGGTGGTGCAGCGCTAACAACGGAACGAAACGAAGAGGAGGTATGATCGCTCTAGTCGACGGAAGACATCGCTATACGGGTAAATAACGTCGTCGCGCTTACCCTATTCCGGCAACGACCGTCGAGTGAAACGAAGGTGCGCGCAAACGCTGGCTGCTCCACGGAATATGTATGTGACGGAGGTGGGCGAGGGCCGTGCGAAAAAGTGGCGAAAACTGTGAGAGAGGTGCAGTGCCTCCACGTCGGTGGCAGTGGCGGTGTTGGTAGTAGTGGTGCTGGTGGTGTGGTGGTCGTGGCGGTGGTGGTGGTGGCGGCGGTGTGGCGTTGCTGGTGCTACTTCGGTGTATATGCGCGCGTGTATTGGTGGGACACGCACTTCGGCGGGGCCGTGGTTCTCGCTCTCTCTCCTGTTACGTCTCGTTCCCTCTTTCTCTCAAACCCCTCTATCCACCGCGACTGTCCTCTTTGTCGCACTTACGGAGGCCATCGTACCGAAAGCGACCGAGCCAGGCCAGGCACTACGCAAGATGGCTGTGTGTCGCTAACGAGAGGCCGACAAACCAGACGGGGAAAAGACAACCCGGGGATAAACGGAACATGCTGCTACGTGATCGTCGGGCCCGTCCCTGAACAGAGAGACACTGGCCAAGAAGCGAGAGGTACGTTTCCTTTTTCTACGGGTTTAACTCTGCCGATGATCCACTTCGTTTTCCTTCCTTCGTTCTTTCTCTCCGTCACGCCGATCTCGTGTTTCCATCCCTCTCGCGAGCATCGGTGAAATGACCTTTTTCAAAAATTTTCCGAACGATTTTGCGATTGACAGGTTGCCGAAGATACAGTGACACGCGTGTCTTACTTTTTCTGCTCTCGTGCGGACGATTCGCATAGTCTATCGTTTCGCGTACTCCGATATTCGACGAACATACGTTCTATACTCGGAAAAGGTAAACAAGTTAAAGTTTTCCCCTCGTGAACGTCGATCAATCGCCGTGTGGTCATTTTATGAATCCTTTTCGTCAAAGTTACTCATTCGACCGTGGGATTGTACGTTCAATTTGTCCACGTTAGCGGCGTGACAGTTCAAATTTTTTTCCGCTCCAAATTTCGTACGACGTCGACACGACAGCCATCTAGAGAATCGCAAGACGAGAAACCGAATCAGAAACATCTGTTGCCGAAAACTCGAAACGGCGAACATAACCTCAAAACGTCGGTTCGCGTGCGTTTTTAAGAAAAAGATACGTGATCGTTCCCCGTTGTCCGTGACTTGGTCAGTTTGTCATTTTATTGTCGAATTCTCCGATCAGCGTGTGTGCTGCGTGTGCGTTTACGCTCGATAAATAACTTTTGTCGCAAACGTTTTGTCGCAAACTTCACCAATCGTAACGATTCTTTCGAGCGTGAATCCCGAAAGTATGTTGCGTACTGGAACGCAATTTTGCGAAATATATACATCGTATCTCAAAGTTGGACGAAATGCCAGCGCGAATGAAATCCTGCCGACGGAGTGGAAAAGTTCCTGCGTTACAAGACCCGACGTTGAACGAACATCTGTTGGCTGAGTAGCTACGTGCACATAGGCTAGAACTTACGTCGCAGCAACGTTTACTGGATCGCGATTCCTGCGTGTCACCGAGTTGCACGTCGACCGCGTATGCATAGATACACGATGCTTCGTTATGAACGAAATTCAAGCGCTTTTCGTTGCTTCGTCGATCGTTTAACACGCGCATAAGCTCATTGCGGAAATTTTCCATCCACGCGGTACATCGTTGTTCGCTTCGTGCTACGTCCTGACGTATACCTGATCATTTACCGACGCACGACTATCCTCGTTCTTTCACGTTAAAAACTACTGTCACGGACACGAACCGCATATTTTTTTTTTTTTTTATCTTCGTTTCACCGAATACGTTCTCGTGTCGATACTAGGAATATTTTGAACGACGATAACGAAACTTTACCGCGAAATAGTCATTGCTCGAACGGAAATTCAAATCGCTGTACCGACGGATCGAAACCTACTCACCGTTCCATGTTCCAAAATTAATCTTTCGAAAAGTGATTCGCGGAATATCTTTTTCGGAACGAAACGATGGGAAAAAGCAATTTTGGAGTGGAAAAAAATAATCGTCGAATCGAATCGTTTTGCCGCGTAACTGCGACTCAAAATCCAATTAGTTTCATCCGTATCCCTTATCGTGTGCCTCGAGCTCTGCGCGTTCATCCGCAAATCGATCGGTGCTCTATATTTTCGCGTTTGATTATCGTTTTCTAATTATCGGCCGGCGTCTGGCAGTCCGTGAGACAAACGGAGTAATCGGAAGTGACAGGTCGGTCGCTCGAACGGCATTTTTTTATACTTCGTTTCTACTAGATTTTCTCCAACGTGGCCTTCCGGATGGCCTTTCGGTCGGAGAACCTTGCCCCTCTCGGCTCTCCGACACGTGCGGGCGCGTTTCAGAAGGACATTGCCGCATTTTACGATTGCTATTTCTCTTCGCTGTGCGTGCGCGTACCAACGTGTACGCCTCCCATTTATTTTTTTCGCCACGTTTCATCTTTAATCTCAGGATAGGGGAATGACAAGGCACCGGTTTTTACGACGGTGTGTGTGTATAGCCCGAAGGGTGAGGCGCCTACGTAAGCTACGCCTAACGATCGTTATCGTTTCTAAAGACACCGCGGTATGGTGAAATATCGGAGAAATTGTGCGGTAATGAGGAACGAAGTTTGATCGAAGGTGCTTGTGTTTCGTGATTTCAAGGCGATCGCAAGCGACTCGGCGGAGTAAACCGAATATCGATCGATACCTTAGACGAGTGTAACTCGCTATAGCACCCTGGGACATTTGTTGATCTTTAGGTGACCTTACATGAGGAAAGTCGCTCGATATCGCGCGATGCTAGTGGATGGATGAAGTCATCCCTATAATTTTCAATTTCGTTTTTTGTACGTAAATAAATTGACAAATTCGTCCTTCTCGTGCAAGTACTCCGGATTTGCATAACGGAGTAATTCTTAGGCGCAATATTCGTGCTCCAAACATATTCAAAGTTTAACCGTTTTCGTTTTCGCGGCAGGTCTCCGAGGCAAAGAGTGAGGAAAGTTTCGTATCCACGTAGTTGGTATTCCACGAAGAAATTTCGTTCTTCGACGAAATTAAACGGGGTCTGTTCGCTCGTACGAGTTCCATCGTTCGACGGAACTTTCCGCGCGCCATAACCTTCCGTTTAAGGACTAAGCTGCGTCTCTAATATCCCCGCGACTTGGTGAAAGTTCCGCCATGCTTTCCTCACTACCGCGGGGGCGCCAGCGTCGCCGCTCAGTCCCTAGATCTCGTTATCGTATCGCGTAAACGACGATTCCACTCGAAATCATTACCGACATGCTTCCGATACGATTTGGTTAAGCGTACGTTCCTGCAAACGCAAATAGAATCCGACACACGAGACCCATCAAACGCCGGTTACGCTGTTTGATCGATAGAAACACCGTGGAATCTTATTACGCTGTTTCTTCGAACGAATCGGATACAGAAGATCCAATGATCCCCGGCGTATGTACCTCGTGTTCTTCCGCGTGCTACGATGATTTGTCCATTTTCTTAACTTAATATCCGAGTAGGATTAAGAGGAATTTACATTTCGCGTTTCCCTCTATATTTTTCGAATACTATTACGTTCATCCGTGTGTCACGTGGGGAAATTAATGTTTAACTTGAAATAGATTTCCACACCGAATTTCCCCACCATATTGTTCATATCTTCGTGTTCCTCCGCGTGTTACGAGGATTTCTTCGTTATTTTGAATATTTCCACGATCTTCCGCGTGTTGCTATAAGAAATTGTTCGTTTTTCAGCATAAGTGTTCTCGTGTTTCTTCTTGTGTCACGTCGAAAAATTATTTATTTTCTTAGCCCAAGATTCAGATGGAATTCAGGAAGAATTAGTATTTCGTGCTTCCCGCTGTACTTTGAATATTCTTACGTTCATCCGCGTGTCACGTGGGGAAATTAATGACTTAAAATCGGATTAGATTTCTACGACGAGTTTTCCTACGATATTGTGGATATCCTCGAGTTCTTCCACGCGTTGCACGAAGAAATTATTCATTTTTTCATGCGATAAAATTGGAGCAGAATTTACAAGGAATTTCTAGTCCGAGTTTTTCTATAGCGTTTCAATATCTTTATATTTCCTCACGCGTTACGACGGAAAATTATCGGTGCCTGTAGCTTAAAGTCGAAGTCTAGAATTCACAGAAATTAGTTTAAATTTCCGCGCTATATTTCCAATATTTTTCCGTTCTTTCGTGCGCTGTATTGGAAAATTATTCATTTTCTAACCTGAAATTGTCGCAGAATTTCCAAGATTTTCGAGGTTTTTCAATATATAGCTTATCATTTTCTTATTTTCTCAAATTATCGTCTATAAAAGTAGTCACGAGAACTCTTTATTTTTCCTGCATCGTGTCGAGGAAATTTTCCTTTCTCAGGCATAACATTTGTGCAGAATTCTCGAGATTCCTTCATTTCGAGTTTCCCAACTATCAAGTATCTTCTTGTTTTCCCGCGTATCACGTGAAGAAATGATTCATTTCTTTAGCATAGCATTACAGCTACCGTCTTATGGCACGCGCATAAACATCATATACATAAACACTGGTTATTAAAGCGTCGTGATAAAAAGAACCAAGTACATATAACTACGTTTCTTCGCCAATGGAACTTCAAAACCTATTTTGAGTAGTGACTAAAATAAGAAGCCTGAAACCAATCGCGTTGATTGGTTTAATTACTTCGGTAAGTCCGGCGTTATCGGAGCAAAATTCGCAAACAACTTCCATTTCTCCGTTATACTTCCAACATCTTCGCGTCCTCCATATCTGTTAGCTTAAAATCGAATCAGAACTCGCGAGATCCTCTTTGCACTCCAAATACTTGCTCAATGATCTTCTCAGTAACTCTCCATAATTCACGTGTACTCGGAAATAAACTGCTATAGATTGACAGAAACCGATTTAAATAAATTTCGCGTGCTAATTATTTCAGTGATACGTTCGAAAAATGAATAATCTCGAAATTTCTAGAAATAGATCTACGTAGAATCGATATCACGATCGTCGGAGGTATTCAAAGGGTGAAAGACCCTCGAGTAAGCGGCTGGGGGTCCCAGCATCGTGACAGAGGCGGGGTGAGTGCTGGAATAATTAGCGAAGGACCGATATAGAAATTGATAAATATATGATAGAAATTGATAAATATATGATCCATAAGCAAGGATGATCTCGATGGACTTAGAACGATTTGGGAACTGGCATTGCCAAGAGAAAATTCGAAGTCGATGGAGCTGTGTGGCCTTCGGTGTGACGCAGAGCGAGGAATGTCGTGGGCAAACAGCGGCTCGATTTATACCCGTAAACATCGTTGGATTGGTATCGCGAAGGCAAGCTCGTTTTGCGGGAGGGAGATGAGCCTAAAAGGGTGTAAACGCGGTACAGAGCCGCGTGTAATTGGAAAATTCCGTCGTGGAGGAAACGTTATCTTTTCCATGTGGCTAGTGAGTAGCGAGGAAAGCGTGGAATTTTACAGGGGCCCGGGAGGGGGCGGGGGTACCACGTATTTATTGCCTGCTAATCTTAACAATCGAACAGCCAA